GCATTTTCAATTATTACTTTATATATATGTATATTTTGGAATCACTTGATTTAACGCTACTTGTTTATCAATGTAAATTAGTATTAAACCTATAGAAATTGATAAAAATATTTAATTGTAATATTTTATTATTTATAAGTGAATGTAAATTTAAAAATATTTAAATGAAAAGAAAAAGTGGAGCAAAAAATTTTTAATAAAATAAGGGCTTAATTTAATAGCATTAATTTTATCAACATTAATGATTAATGTTAATATCATTAATGATTAACGTTACTATCATTAATGATTAATGTTACTATCATTAAAGTAGGTAACTACAATGAATTTTAATATTATTATGAAAGCTACCCTATTAATGTTCCTATCATTAATGTTCTTTAGTTGTTACCATTAATGTACCTAAATATCATTAATAATATTACCATTAATGTTCCTAATTATCATTAATGTACGTAACTATCATTAATGTTATTACCATTAATGTTAATCATTAATGTACCTAACTATCATTAAGTTTACTATCATTAATATGCCTAACTATCATTAATGTTATTACCATTAATGTTACTATCATTAATGTGCTTAACTATCATTAATGTTTTTACTATTAATGTACCTAACTATCATTAATGTTATTACTAATAATGTTACTATCATTAGTGTACCAAACTATCATTAATGTCACTATGATTAATGTATCTAACTATCATTAATGTTATTACCATTAATGTTCCTAATTATCATTAATGTACGTAACTATCATTAATGTTATTACCATTAATGTTAATCAATAATGTACCTAACTATCATTAATATGCCTAACTATCATTAATGTTATTACCATTAATGTGCTTAACTATCATTAATGTTTTTACGATTAATGTACTTAACTATCATTAATGTTATTACCATTAATGTTACTATCATTAGTGTACCAAACTATCATTAATGTTACTCTCATTAATATTACTATCATTAGTGTATCTAACTATCATTAATGTTACTATCATTAATGTTATTACCATTAATGTTACTATCATTAATGTTATTACCATTAATGTTATTATCATTAATGTGCCTAACTATCATTAATGTTATTATTATTAATGTACCTAACTATCATTAATGTTACTATCATTATTATTACAATTATTAATGTTACTATCATTAATGTTACTATCATTAATGTACCTAATTCATAAAAGTGTAGAAAAAAAATTTACAGCCCGATCCGAGTAGAGGAAGACCTGTATTACCACCTATAAAGCACTTTTTGTCATAAAAAACTGCCCAAAAAAATTCAATTTTTCTTAGGCAGACTATTTCAATGCAATTTCTTGCACAAAATACACCTAAAAGTGTAGAAAACAATCGACAGCTCGATCCGAGTTGAGGAAGATCCGTATTATCATTATTATTATTATCTTTTATGTTACTATTATTAATGTAGCTAACTATCATTAATGTTACATATTTATAAAACTAATAATAATTAATAGAATTGGCAGTTACAGTAAAAGAAGTGTTACCACAAAAAAATGTCTCCCTCTTTTTTTCTCTCTCACAGAGATTGTCATGTATAACGAGCTCGTAACCGTTGATATCTGTAGTGATGATAACCACAATAAATCATGTGGTAGCCTGTAATGAAAAGGGCGTATGGCATAATGTGGCGTTGAAGGGTGAAAATGGCCCTAAATCCTCAACGATACAAGAGAAGGACGCACACACGTGTCACCCTCCCCCTCCCCTTCTCATCCCTCTACACCTCAAAAACCCTTATCACTCGTCTACACCGTTCGCGTTTGTTATCTAAAGCAAACTTCTCTCACCCTATATATATATATATATATATGTTAAACGTGTGCGCTATAAACAACCGCTTCACTTATTGTAAACACACGTTCCAATGATATTTGACATCAATTTATCGATCTATTAATTAACAAAACACTTTATAATTCAATCTATACAAGGTTAATTTACAATCTCAATCTTTTGACATGTATATTAAAAATTTATTGCTACAAATCTTTTATTCAACAGAAAAAATTTTTAATTAAACTATTTAAAAATTTAAATTTATTCCAAATAATTTTAATTAGGTAAACATTATTAATAAATTAACAAACATATTATAATAATTAAACTAAATTTGATATATTAATTAAGTTATTAAATTAATACTAATGTCCTTTCATATAAATAGTAAAAATTTGAAAGATATAAATCATTAGATTTTTTGTAATTCAAAATGTAAAAATAATAATAATAATAATAATGATGAAAAATAAAATAACAAAAAATTCCAATTCAAATAAATGGAGCAATCTGAAGTATTTATAAAACTTGATAGAAGTGTGATTATAAGAAATAAAATTCGGCCGAATGTTTGCGCCCTTAATAAGGGATCAAAAGCCCCTTTGGGTTCTTTCGTCAATTTTTTTTTCTTTTTTTGACTTTTTGTGTTTTTGTTATATGTAATAACGAATAATATAGTTGATCTTTTTTCTCCCCCTTAGTTATGAATCGTGTGTCCCGTACCCATATATCTCAAGGGATTCATTTTCATTTTTTTTTATATACCTTGCCACCCTTTTTCGTTACTACCGCAAGAACGCGCATTCAGTACGACTTGGCTTTCGACTATCAGACAATTTCCGCGGTCCTTTGATTACAACCAATCTATGCCTTTTTTTTTTTTTTTCTTTGCGTAAGCATTTTTTCCCCATTGGAAGAAGAAAAACCCCTTGGGGAAATAAAGTTTAATTATACGACAATTTGAATCCCACACCAGTTATTAAGTTCCTTTTTTTATTCCATTAATCTGTTTACCATATATATATATATATATATATATATATAAATAATTATCAAGAAATTACGAAACTCATAATTTTAATATAGCAAATAAAAAATAATTTTTAACTTTCCAAAAAAAAAATTTTTATAAAAACGAATTTTTAAAAATAAAGTATAGGTAAGGGTAGATAATAGAAAATAAAAAAAAGAAATCCAATGAAATAACAATGGAACTAATCTAATATTGATTTGATTGATTGAATGTCTCATTTTCCTGATATTGAGAGTGATTGAGTTAAGGACAATATCCTTAAGCCAATCGACAGAGATAGTGATATTGAAATTTAGAAGAGAGCTTAGGGAGATAATTTTACCCAGTGAAATGCGCATCTCACTGTTATATATATATATATATATATATATATATATATATATAGCTAACAGAACTATAAACCGGAAGTCGTTCACCTCGAGAATCGATTTCGAGATTGAGTAATTCAATTGTTCGAAACTTGTGAAAAGCTGCCGAACCATTTGATTGGCACAAAGTACTACGACAAACACAAATGTGATGATTAATGAGTTTTCATCCCTTTTTGCTTCTAAAACGAGAAAGTTTTCATCATTTCTAACTATCCAAAGAGAGGATTTCTATTTTCATCCCGTTAAACTTTTTATATATTTATCACTTACTTAAAAAAAATATAAATTTTTAATAAACAGAAAAAAACTCAGCTTAAGATGAGTAACGTACGCACATACATTTTGAAGTGCAACAAAAATGTGCCTCGTAGATGGCGCCACGGTTCTGTTTTTTTGAACTGCAAAAAAAGTTTTTTCCATAATTTCAGAGTAATTTCTTAATAATTTTTCAATAATTTCTAAATTTTGCTTTTTTTCATCAAATTAGCATTTTGTTTGCGTTAAGAAAATATTTTCGAGTCACAAGAGTTTTAGAAGTTGATTGTAAGGCAATTTTTGGGACATAAAAAAAGGGGGAGGGGGGGTGGGGATTTTATTGCGACCAATAATTTAGAATTGTTGGCCGCATGTTAGTTTGGGTTTTTTGAAGGGAATATTCTGTGTTCGCAAAATACGTTTTCTGTTGTAGAAAGTTTTCGTTTTTCGGATATGAGTCGAGAGATAGAGAGAGAAGCTTCGCTTCATTTTCATGAGTTTCTTGAAGACGAGCCAACCAATGGTTTCGTTTCACGATATATATATATATATATATACATACATATTGCATGGGGGTCTACATCGTTTGCGGATTTTCAGATTCACTCTCATTTCCCGACCATCGCATCGTACTTTTTCACCTCGCCCTATACCCATCTCGTGACATCATTTCATCCAGACCTTAAACCAAATTATTCTTTTTCAAAATAGTAAAATAAAATCGTAAATTAAAAAAAAAAAAAATATGATTTTTAAAAACTTCAAGTTTTGAAGAAAAATAAAAAATTTACTTTGAAAAAACAATTTCAAAATTAAATTTTTCCAAAAGATGCGGAAAAAAAGTTATACCAAAAGTTTTGAGGAGTTAAAAAAGATTATAAATTTTTAAAATGACTTTTTCCGTGAAACATATATATAGTTTGAGAATTGTTGTGATCGATATCTTGAGTACCGGAAAACCAGGAAAAGTGCTTATGCTGAAGATTCTTAGGGGCCTAGCCAGTGACAACGTGAGGCCTCTCGATTATTCATCATCGAAAGGACAGAGCATCCAATCGAGACATTCTTTGATCATGAATGCTTTAGTTCAAGATTATACTTTTCAATGAAAAGACAAAAAAAAAAAAAAAAAGAAAAGACGAGAATTTTAAGAAAAGAAAAAAAAAAGATAATTCTTTCCTTTTCCTTGATAAATTTAAAAATGGAGAACATCATTATGTATTTTCAATGAGAAAAAGATCCTATCTTCGCGAGAGAGAACGAGAGATATAGAAAGATTATCTTCCAAAAAAGAAAAATAAATCGATTTCAGAGAAAAAATATATCCTCAGTCTTCAATATAAGAAAAACGATATCTTCGCAATAGAGAAAATGTCTCTATGTACATAAGAAAATGGAAATTTTAAAAGATGAACTTTTTTTTTTAGCAATAATACGCCAAATGATAATTAAATATAAAAATAAATTATAATTTAATCGAGGTGTTAATTATTTAAGTGACAATAAATTCTACTCACTCTGGAGCAGGATTCCTCCAGCGTTGAGTGCCAGCGCGCGCCATCAGACATTAACCACACCAATCTGTAACATAAAATCGAAAACAATCATTTTAATTCTAATTTTTCTATTGTAAAATAAATTCTATTTTTAATGTTTAATTATGAAAATAAAAATAAAAAAAAAAATAAAGTGTTTTTTTCAAAAGAGTAATTTTAATATCGTCGAACAAATTTTTCTTTTCGAGGACACACATTTCTCATATATCCTACATGTTTTTTTTATCACCAGTCTGAAGGATCTAAAGAACGTGGGTGTTAAAAAAGTGTCGAAGAAGTTGCAAGCCCTCTCGTATAATATAAAAAATTACTGATAAGAAATGTGCTCAAGTTCGTTTTCTTCATGTTTCATTCATATACACACATATATGTATATATCGAAGGGAGAAAATTTATATTTTTCTTGACAGGATGTCACATCATCAAATCCCACGATACAAAAATAAGAATATCGAAATAATTCAATTTTAGAGTCACCTAATTTTTTTTTTCCTAAATTCAAAATCACGAGAAAAATAAATATGTTTTAAAATTTTTAACAACTTTTTTTTTTTTTTTAATATTTTAGTTACTACAGTAAATTTTTGTTTTAGCAAACATTTATTAGCTGCTTCAGCAAAACATTTTAGTTGATATTGCGAATTTTCTTAGGAAAAATTTCTTAGCAGCTGTAACAAACATTCATTAGCGACTGCAGCAAACATTTTAGTTGTTGTGGCATAATTTTCCAGCAAATATTTATTAGCAGCTTTAGCAAACAGTTCCAACAAACATTTATTAGAAACTGTAGTAAATATTTTTGCCTAATATTCCTTAGCAGCTGCAGCAAACAATTTAGTTGCTGTAGCAAATTTTCGTTTTAGCAAAAATTTATTAGCAGCTTCAGTAAAACATTTTAGTTGATATTGCGAATTTTCTTAGTAAACATTCCTTAGCAGCTGTAACAAACATTCATTAGCGACTGCAGCCAACATTTTAGTTGTTGTGGCATAATTTTCCAGCAAATATTTATTAGCAGCTATAGCAAACTGTTCCAACAAACATTTATTAGAAACTGTAGTAAATATTTTTGCCAAATATTCCTTAGCAGCTGCAGCAAACAATTTAGTTGCTGTAGCAAATTTTTGTTTTAGCAAACATTTATTAGCAGCTTCAGCAAAACATTTTAGTTGATATTGCGAATTTTCTTAGGAAACATTTCTTAGCAGCTGTAACAAATATTCCTTAGCAGCTGCAGCAAACAATTTAATTGATGTAGCAAATTTTTTGAGCAAACATTTATTAGCAGCTTCAGCAAAACATTTTAGTTGATGTTGCGAATTTTCTTAAGAAACATTCCTTCGTAGCTGTAACAAACATTCATTAGCAAATGTAGCAAATATTTTAGTATAATTTTCCAGCAAATATTTATTAGCAGCTGTAGCAAAATTACCCAACAAACATTTATTAGTAACTGTAGTAAATATTTTTGACAAATATTTTGCTGCAGCAAACATTTTAGTTCATGAAGCAAATTTTTTTTAGCAAAAATAACAAGTAAATTCATTTTTTTCTGTGTGTAAAATTAACCTAAATAATTTGTTTTGCATGTGAATTAAAAATCAGAAGACACGCAAGTATAAATATAACAATCAAAGTGACAAATCAGATATATAATTTTCTCTCTCCAATGACATCTTTTTCATCTTTCTGCGTCCGCTGGCATTGAATACACACAGACACACATATATAACAAATCAAAAAGGAGATTTCTAATTAGCAATATTATATACATACAGTCTTGTAGACAATGGACGGCAATCCGACAACTTCATCATCATGAAGATGACCCTTTTGTCGGACGTTTAAATTATGTAAGTATCCTTGCAGTTCCGTATCGTCGAGAGTGCGTCATGCATATCTCAAACGCAAAGAGTGGCAAAGGTACTTTGACCCTATATATATATATATATATCTTCCTTTTTCCCTTTCTTCTTTTCTTTTTGTTCCTTTTAAAGAAAAAAAAAATCTCTTAAACTCTCCCTTCCACCTGATACTCGAGAGAGGATACCCCTTTCCTTTCTCTCTCTTTTTTTACCGTTCTTTCGGAATTTTACGAGTTTTTCTCTTCAACTAGGAAAAAAATCACCGAGAAAGAAAGAGAAGAAACATTCTAATGAAACCCCTGTTATTGCGGGCGGGCGTAAAATAAAGTGGAACTGTTATCCTACACTCGAGAAAAAAATTCTGATTTTTATCGGTATTAAAGATTTTTATATTCATAACTATATATGTATATATATATATATATATATATCATAAAAGAAAAAAGTTCCTATCTTCATTTCTTCCATTTAAAGCAGTACCTCACCTTTCTCTTTTAATTTTAACTATTGTTAATAAATATATCTTTAAAAATTAATTAGAGTAGAAAATAGTAATTTATTATTAGAAATTATTATATTTATTCTTAGAAATTTTCATTAAAAAATGACTAAAAATTGGTAGAAATTTTTACTAATTATTTTAAACACTGGTTGTTTTGCATATACCATATAATCTTTACGATAATGTTACTTAAATTATATTATTTGTCTTTAAATATTATAAGAGGTAATATAATAATTACGAGTTAATAGAATTTTCCATAAAAGCTAATTTTCATATATATATATATATATATATATATATATATATGTTTTACATATATATTATGTACGTTAGTTGTTTCAGTTTTCACATTTATATTCAAAATTAAACAAATATCTTGTTAATTATAAAGTGTTAATTCTAAGGGAAAACTAGGTTTAGAATAAATTCCAAGGTAATAATAAATTCCGAGTCAAAATGGGCTTCCCACATGCGGTTACAACGTATAAATTATGCCTCACTTATTACACCTCATATTTAATTTATGCGTATATATAGCAGTACCGACGCGACCGCTATGTTTGACACCACATCTACTGTTAATTGTAACAAATTATCATTATTTTTTATTTTTCGCAAACATCTGCTTTATACAAAATTAAAAAGAATTTCTTTTAATATTTGCAACTTGTATAATAATAATAATAATAATAATAATAATAATAATAATAACAATAATAACAATAATAACAAAAATAATAATTGAAAGTTACAAAAATAATTGTGTATATTTATATAGTAATTAATTTTTTTTTCATTTTGAAATAAGATTGGTATATTATTCAAAAATGACAAACTGATTGTTCACGGATGATGATTCATTGATTATTGCATAATAGCGCAATAAATACTCTTATTACGTGAACGTGGCATTATTTTCAAAAGGCCCCCATTTTGGATCGTAAAAAAAAAAGCGTAGCGATTGACAACTGATTTGATGGAATATATTTGTGATTCGCTTTCAAGGTTGAGCTAACTGCAATTGTATATATGGGATTTATTACTTCCTTGCCATTAACGGTCGAAAGAGAGAGAGACATACATATAAATGCAGGAAATAAGAAATTTGTAGGTCATTCTGTTATAACAATATGCTTTGCAAATAAAAAAAACAAAAAATTCTGACAAAAAAAGATTGGTTTTAAAAATTTTTTTGTTTAGATTTATATATAAACATTAAAAAATAATTTTTTTATTTTCTATCAAAATACGGATTTTCTTCGAACCAAATAAAGCACAGTCTCAAAAGAATTTAAGACTTTCATCAAACTAAGTTAAGAATTGGAAACACAAACTATTTTCTATTATATGCCATCTTAGAAAGGGGGGGGGGAGGGAGGGAGGAGGGAAACTTGTGAAATTGAATTTGAAACGAACGTACTTCACGTTTTCTTCAGAGCGCTTGTTTCTTTTTTTTGTGAATTCTTTGCATTCTTTTTTTTCTGTTTTTTTTTTCCTTTTTTTTTAGATTATTGTGGAATAACCATGGAAACTTTGTTCTTGGGATGCCCCGGGAACGGGCGCAGAAGGGAGAAAATGAGAATTTCTGACAGAAAGTTATGAAAAGGTTGAACGGGGAGTTGTCGACAAGAGAGAGAGAGAGAGAGAAGGTGAGGAGGCTTCGTAGAAACACCATCTGCTTGTATCGATCGCCCCCTAAGACTCGCAAAATTAACAGCGAGAGGTATATAAATAAAGCAACGTTTTCATGTATATATATATATAAACACACAAGAGTGCATGACAAAGAGAAATGAAAAACAGGAAGATTATCTCTACATTTCAAAAAAAAAAAAAAAAAAAAAAGAACTAAATACCTTTTACATAATGCCGCAAACCTGTCTAGGGTAATGACAAAAATTCCTACACATAACGTTAATATTTTAGTATAATATAAAACAAATTAATACATTTCTATAACGACTGCTTGTTACTAAAATCGATTTTAATTAAATTATATTGATCATCAATCATCGATTAACGAGTTACAAACAAATCCGAGAATTTTTTTTTACACTGTAAAAAGAAGGTATACACTGTAAAAAATTTAGGGAGTTAACAGCACTAGGAGTTGGGAGTTCGATTTTTCGAGTTAAAAATCAACTCGAAAAAGGAGTTAACAAAGAATGGAAGGGAGTTCAGTATCAACTCCCTTTTGAGTTATTTTATAATGGAGTATCATATTCTCTAACTCGTGTAAGGAGTTAAAGTTGAACTCCCTTTGCTATAACTCCTTAATGGGTGGGACTTTTATATAGAATCCCCTGGGGAGTTGAAATTCAACTCCTTTTTTTTTTACAGTGATACTAAATTGGTACCGATTTTAGGTATTAAAATAGAACCAAAAGGCAATTTAGTACCTAAAGTTGGTATTAAATTAATACCTCTCGTTTTACAGTGTAATATTCGCTATTTCAAATTTTAAAAATCTAACATCGGATTCGTAATCAGCGACCCAAAAAACCCCCTAGTACCAAGTTTGAACTAAATCCAAACAATTTTTTAAAATCCGACCGCCATTTTGAATTTTGAAAAACGTATTATAATTTAAAATTATAATAAAACATTCTAAAATGCCTATATATTCTAAATTTCAGAATGTTTTTTTCGGTGAAT